GGGCCGGCGCTCCCCCCCGCCGAGTGCCGCGTGCCCGGCGCTCCCCCCGCCAAGCGCGCTCCCCCCGCAAGCACCCGTGCGCCATGTGCCCGGGGCCAGGCCAGCCCCGAGCACCTGGCGGGTGCATTGAAATGCCCCCGCGGGCGCCATGGCGCCCGCGGGCACCGGGTTGGGGACCACGGGTCTATACTGTGCCCATTTTGTGCAAGAAATATGCAAGTGAGTGAAGTTTTTTTTTGTTTGTTTTTTGTTTTTGTTTTTTTGCACAAGAGGCTTTTGCGCTGAAAGGAGCTGTCTAGACGAAAAAATGCATGTTTTTTTTGCACAAGAGGCTTTTGCGCTAAAAGGAGCTGTCTAGACGAAAAAATGCAGAAGAACTGCTCTTGTGCAAAAACAGAGCCTCATTAATTATGCAAATGAGGCGTGGCAATATTCCACGCTTTGCCTCATTTGCATATTTTTTGCGCAAAACGGGGGCAGTGTAGACATAGCCTAGGACAGAAGGTTGGGACATGGGTTTGGGAGGTGCACAAGGGTGCTCTGGGGCTATGGTGGGAGGAAGGAGGACTCCCTACAGCTCTTTCTTCCTACAGCAACACCTGGGTTGGATGGGGGAGGCTCTTGCTGCAGCAGCTTCAGGGCTGGGGCCACAGGATAGGCACCCTAACAGGTCAGGGCAAGGGCTGGTTTCAGGTTAGCGGAGGGGCATGGGTTTGAACCTGGGGAAGGTGCTGCGGCAGGTCCAGATGGCAGAGCTGGCACCAGGTGAGGGGTGGTCTTCCCGCAGCAGGTCTGGGTGCCCTCGGTGCCCCTGCCACAACAGGTTCAGGCCATGAGTGGCTGAGTTTAGGCCAAGGTAGGGGGCAACACAGATACCCTTCTCCCAGCATCAACATAGCCAAGCTCCTAACCTGCTGCAGCTATCTCTTGGCTGTGGGAGGGGACCTGGGAGAAGTCCCAGAGCGCCTGCATGATGCTAGATGGGCTGCTGTGTAACCAAGCAGCTTGTAGGGAACTTAGGTTGTCTGAATCTTTAACAAACACCAGTAGAAAGCAATTGAAAAGAAAAATCTTAACTTCCATGAGTAGCAATGATATCTACAACTTGACTGATCGCTTTCTCTGTTTTTTTTTTACCCCCCTCCCCCCCCTCACATTGCAGGCGTACACCGTCAGCTCCTGTATACCACTGTGGGCTGGTATCTTGGCTATTATCTCAGTAAACGTGCAGACTATAATTGTGCTAAACGGGACAGAGACCTGATGGAGTACATTAGGCATCATCCAGAAGATTTTAAGGAAAAAGGTATACTGAATTGCTGTTTTAAGAAAGACCTTGCACACTAGTTAATAAGTGATAAATTCTGGTATGCCAGAGACAGAATCCAGTCTTTAATAATGGTCCACAACTGGCTAGTATCACTTCTGTGGTTGATTGACAGTTTAAAGGGAGAGAGAACATTAGGAAAATTATGATATAGAAATAGACCGTTCTTACTCGACAGATCTGCTTTCTGTTGTTTCTGTTTACTCCAGTGAGGAAATAAGCTTTTAATAGTAAGCACTGCAGAGACAATATAGCCAGGGCTCGCCAGCCATGCTGTCCATGCGCAGATCGCCCGAACCCGGTTACAATCCACTCACCACGGATGAGTATATTATATTATTTGTCGAGCCCTGAATATAGCTATGGAGGAGCAAACTGAACAGTAATGTAGAAGACTTAATTCATTTATTTTATTTTATTTTGGTAACTGGGGTCCTTCTGTGCTAAGAACCTAGGATATGTCTACACTGGCCACCCTAGTTCGAACTAGGGTTGTTAATGTAGGCAACCGGAGTTGCAAATGAAGCCCGGGATTTGAATTTCCCGGGCTTCATTTGCATATTGCCGGGCGCCGCCATTTTTAAATGTCCGCTAGTTCGGACTCCGTGCCCGCGGCTACATGCGGCACGAACTAGGTAGTTTGGATTAGACTTCCTATTCCAAACTACCGTTACTCCTCGTGGAGTAACGGTAGTTCGGAATAGGAAGCCTAATCCGAACTACCTAGTTCGTGCCGCATGTAGCCGCGGGCACGGAGTCCGAACTAGCGGACATTTAAAATTGGCGGCGCCCGGCAATATGCAAATGAAGCCCGGGAAATTCAAATCCCGGGCTTCATTTGCAACTCCGGTTGCCTACATTAACAACCCTAGTTCGAATTAGTGTGGTAGTGTAGACATACCCCTACAGTGTAAGCTGTTTGGGCCAGGAACCATCTCTCAATCTAAATCAGGGTGGGGAACTTTTTTGGTGTGAGGGTCCACTGACCCTCAGAAAAAACAACCCTCACTGACATGGCCCCTGACTGAGAAGGAGAAAGACACTTCCCACATTCCACTTGCACACCAGAGCTGAGGCGGGCCCAGGCTAGTAGAGTTTCTGTACTCCAAATCCCTCACTGACATGGCCCCCACATTCCCCTCCTACATCAAAGCCTAGCAGATTTTGTGTGCTCCAACCCCACATTGGGGCAGCAGTGGGACTGGAGTGCCAGCACAGACTCCCCAGTGCTGGGGGGAGGGGGACCCTGATCCTCGGGTGTTGGATCCAGGCAAGCAGAGGACCGCATTCAGCCCTTGAGCCTGCAGTTTCCCACCCCAAACTAAATGATAGTGCAGGTCGACTCTCTCTAGTTCTTCACCTTTGGGACCTGATCAGTGCCGAACCAGAGAATTTGTCAATCCATGGGAGGTCAGTATTGTAGTGAGGTATCTTTTATTTCTGTTTTGCTAAAGCACATGTTTGAAATAACGTACCAATATTCCCTTTTCCAATGTCTGCAACAATTCCACGTTTTACTGTATCAGTACTATATTGATACATGCTTACGCTTAACAGCATTACCAACACTTCCACTACTTGCTGGTCTCTCAGAGGACATATTTAAGGGTAAATTAGAGCTAAGTAACAGCACAGAACAATGAGAGCCAGGACTGGTGCTTGTAAGCAAACTTTGCTAATCCATAGGAAACTTGGCCCCACCCCCAATAAGTGGACATCTGGCTATCTAATATCATGTTGAATTATGGATGTTGGGTGACGAGAAAGTGCCAGACTAGAGAGGTTTAACCTGTATGTTATCTATTGTGGGGCTGTTCTCTACAATACGTGTCCCTTATGTTTCTAGGTTTACACATCCCATTTGATTGGCTTCTGCTACCTCCACCGGAGGCGGTTCCATTGTTTCAAAGGTTTTATTAGATTCTCTGATCCTATTTAGGGATGTTAAATTTAGATTAAGTAACTAATCAAATAGTCAATGGGATTTCCATCAACTATTTGATTAGTTGATAGAGGCGTCTCCATCTTTGAACTGAAGCAAGAGCCCAAGCCTTTGAAATGTACAAGGGCCGCACTGTGGCTCTTGTACATTTTAAAAACAGAATCGCAGCAGAACAGTGGGAGCAGAGACTGCTTTAGTCCCTGCTTGTACTGTTTCCTGCAGTGCCTCTACTTCCCTTGCCCACCGCAGTGACAGTGCTGGGGGGAACTAGCTTTTAAGTCGGTTCCCCCCAGCACCCGCTCCTACTCCCCCACTTGCAGCCTTTATCTGACAGAGGCAGTAAGGAAGGGGAAGCAACTAGTGGCATCGTTATAAGCTTATCAGATAGTCAACTAGTCGTTTACATCCCTCATCCTATTCCATACCAGTAGGAATTACTTGTTAAATTCCCAATGGAGATCTAGTGTTGGTGATACAAGCTGTATTTACAGTCTGCCTGATTTTTCAGATCCAGTGCGACAGCTGAGAACTAGGGGAGAAAAATTGAATTGGCATATTTTGTTCTGGAATATTTGAAAGAATGAATGTGGAGCCCACTCTGCAACCAGAAGACATTCTTACAGAATGATCATTCAACTTAAATTTCCATTAGCTACAGTGGTTGCATCAACCACATCCTTTGGCCAATTCTTTTGTGCCCCCATGATTCCTGAAATTCAGCTATCTTCATTTTTATTGCTGATCACTGTGACAGCCCAGATAATCTTGTGTTCATGTGACAAAACACAATAATGGCCATACTGGGTCCGACCAAAGGTCCATCTAGCCCAGTATCCTGTCTTCTGAGGGTGGCCAGTGCCCAGTGGTTTAGAGGGAATGAACAGAGCAGATAACTATTTAGTGATCTGTCCCCTGATGCCTATTCCCAGCTTCTGAGAAACACAGGTTAAGGATAAGGCTGCTGAGAGACCGGTACTTGGGTAATTGTGTAATCAATACAATTTGTATTGACTACATGATTACTCCATAAAGGAAGGTTTCAGAAGGATCTACCCCTACTGTGACTCTGCAGTTTAAATGTAGTAAGAGTCATTCAGCTTAAATGTAGTAAGAGTCGGGCATGTAGGCAGCACGGCTCCTACTAAATTTAAACTGCAGAGTTGCGGCAGGGTAGCTCTTGGACCCAGTGCGAGCTGGGACTGAGCTGGACTTGCCCTGTCCTAATTCATGTCAGGTCCAGTAGCCCCTGTATGCCAGGGTTCCTAGCGTGGAGCTGGGACCCCCTGCGGGCAGGAGCTCCTATGGAGCTGGCTCCCTCCAGCACCGGCTCCTACTCCCTTCCCCCTCCCCCCTTGCTGCCTCTGATGTAGAGGTAGCAATAGGGGTGGGGGGGAGTGTAGAGAAATGTGAGAAGTTGGCTTTCACCTAATAAGCTTAGTAGTTGACTAATTGAGTGCTGTTTTACATTCCTAGTTAGGGACACCATTCTTGCCCATCATGACCCATATCCACTGATGGACCTGTCCTCCATGACATTATCTAGCTCATTGAATCCTGTTACAGTCTTGAGCTTCACAATAGCCTCTGTAAAGAGTTCCACAGACTGACTGTGCATAACTTCATTTGGTGATCCATAGTTTTTGCGTTAGGAGGAGGAGGAGGAGTAAATAAGTCTCTGCGTGGGGAAATAAATGCAAGTCATGATTTAATAGGCCTATCATATTCCCCCTTTAGTCATCTTTTTCCAAGCTGAAAAGTCCCAGTTTTTTAATCTCTCTTCCTATGGAAGCTGTTCCATACCTCTAATCATCTGCAGTCCTTTTCTGTACTTTTTCCAATTCCAATGTATCTTTCCTGAGATGGGGTGATCACATCTGCATGCAGTATTCACTATGTGGGCATTTCATGGATTTATATAGATGCAAGATGATATTTTCTACTATATTACTCATTCTGTTCCTAATGATTCCCAACTTTAAAAGCAACTTTGTTAGCTTTTTTTGACTGCTGCTGCATATTGCATAAATATATTCAGAGAACTATCCACAATGATTTCTAGCTCTTTCTTGAGTGGCAACAGTTAATTTATACCCCATCATTTTATATGCATTGTTGGAATTATGTTTTCCCATGTGCATTACTTGGCATTTATCAACATGAATTTCATTTGCCATTTTGTTGCCCAGTCACCCAGTTTTGTGAGATACCTTTGTAGCTCTTCCAGCTTTGGACTTACCTATAATCTGCAATTTGTATCATCTGAAAATTTTGCTTCTTCACTGTTTACCCCCTTTTCCACGTAATTTATGAGTTTGTTGAACAGCACTCATCTTGTACACAGACCCCCGGGAGCACCACTATTTACCTGTCTCCATTCTGAGAGTTGACCAATTATACCTACGCTTTGTTTCTGATTTTTATTTTTTTTAACAAGTTAGGGTGAATCTACACTGCACTGTAGCTCGAAATAAGATACGCATTTATTTTTTTTAACGAGTTAGGGTGAATCTACACTGCACTGTGGCTCGAAATAAGATACGCATTTCGTGCTAAGCAAATTGCATATCTTATTTTGAAATATCACCAAATACAGCACCAAATTTTAAAATAACCCGCTATTCTGAAATGTTCCTTACTCCTGGTGGAATGAGGTTTACTGGGACGTCAGAATAGTGAGCCTGTTATACAGTAGACTTCCAATAATCTAGCACCTTTTGGACCTAGGTGGTGCTGGATTATCAGATTTGTCGGCAAATCGGGAGGTCTGGTACAGCTTAACAGCTGACCAGGACAGAATCTCTCTCCCCTCCCCTTTCCTCTTCCGGTCTCCTCTGTGCTGTAACCTGATCTTCCTCCCTCTCCCCTCCCCTTTCACTGAAGCAAAACGCTCTTCTCCATACTGTAACACGATCCCTCTCTCTTACCCCCCTCCTCCCTTTGCCCTTCTTCATGCTGTAACACGATCCCACTCCCTCCCCACCGCCCCCAACCTTATGCTCCCTTTGGTTACAGCCAGCACCTGTGCTGAGCGGCAGGCTTTTTAATCAGCTGGTCAGGAGCACTTGGCATTTTGATGCTGGAGTATTGGGAGTGCTGAACAGTTGGATGCCAGACTATTGGAGTTTTGCTGTGTTTCAAAATAACAGGCTTGCTGTGAAGATGTGGGATAGCTATTTCGGGACACTCTAGTATCCCGAAATAGTGCTGCAGTGTAGATGTAGCCCTTCTGATCAATGAGAGAACCTTCACCGAAATAGTGCTGCAGTGTAGGTGTAGCCCTTCTGATCAATGAGAGAACCTTCTCCTTTATCCCATGACAGCTTACTTTAAGAGCCTGTGGTGAGGAACTTTTCAAAGGCCTTCTGAAAATCTAAGTACACTATATTCTCTGGATCTCCTTTGTCCACATGCTATTTGACCCCTTCAAAGAATTCTAGTAGATTTCCATTTTCAAAAATCATATTGACTCTATCCCCACAAATCATATTCATCTATGTGTCTATTAATTCTGTTCTTTCCTATAGTTTCAAACAATTTGCCTGGCACTGAAGTTAGGCTTACTGGCTTCTAATTGCCAGGATTGTTTCTGGATCCTCTTTTATTTTTTTTTTTATTTATTTTTTTTATGGTATCACTTTAGCTATTCTTTAGTCATCTGGTACAGAAGCTGTCATAAATGATTGGTCACATATAACAGTTCGTAGTATAGTTCTGCAATTTCACATTTTAATTCCTTCAGAACTCTTGGTTGAATATCTTCTAGTTGTGGTGACTTGCTAACTGGCATTGTTTGAGAGCCACTGTGACTGAATTTTAAAAAATTAATTAGCAATTAAATCAACCAATATTATGGGGAGGGTATTCAAGTTTACTGCCTAGCAACGTGTATTTGATTAAATGTAGTTAAGTTGTGATTTTCCATTATGTGCCATTAAACTTTCACTGGGAAGGGAGAAGGGACTGCTTAGTGAGGATACATCTACACAGCAGTGTTATTTTGGAATAACTGACATTATTCTGAAATAACATAGTCATTGTCAACACTACAAGCAGTTATTTCAACATAATGTCAAAATAATGTTGAGCTGGAGGACTACAGGCAGTCCCCAGGTTACGTACAAGATAGGGACTGTAGGTTTGTTCTTAAGTTGAATCTGTATGTAAGTCGGAACTGACGTCCAGATCAGCCGCTGCTGAAACTGATCAGTTTCAACAGCGGCTGAATCTGGATGCCAGTTCTGACTTACATACAGATTCAACTTAAGAACCCCAGGCA